GCTCAGAAAACATTTTCAGCTTTTGTGCTTTTGGTCATTGAAAAAGGTCGCTGGCTTCCGGGCTATTTGATTTGGGAAACTTAATAGATTCTTTCCCATATTTTGAGATAAATACCCTCAGGAGGAAACTTTAAGAAGAACTATTATCATTGAATTTCGCTATAGGTTCAGAATGCGACCAGTTAAAATTCGAATTTATTTTGTTAGCAAGTCAACAGGCAATATCTGAACTAGCGCTTCGCGGCCTCAACAGTGTTGGAAGAGAAGAAGAAAAAAAAAATTGCACCAATATTGTCATTCAAGTACGAGTATATCATTTTCTGAAATTCATAGAGATTTCAAGGAAACTTTAGATTTCATACTGATGGATTTCTTTTCTTCAGAAAACAGGGAATCAGTTTGATCATGATTTTCTGTTTTCCTGTGGATCTTGCACTAATTAATAAAACATTTTAATTAGCATATTGATTGGAAGGCGGCGGTTTTTTTTTACACGGAACGCGATTAGTGACCATATAATTAATACTGAATGAACCAACAACCAACTGAAACCATCAACAAAAACTATACATAATTATGAGTCAGGATGTACCGTACATTGTACATACACCTTTCTTTTGATTCTTCATGACTGAGTGGATCCTAATTACAAATGATAGACACTTTATGAATAAAATGTTTGGAGAAAACAAATAACATCTCTTCTCTGGCCAAAATTGTATTCGAATTTGATTTTTTATCTGGTTGACGGTGTGTTAACTTCAACTCCAAAGAAGAAATTTGTTATCTAAAAATAGTTTCATTACATCAGCATTTTTGAAAATCTGTCTGTTGTTTCAAGAAATGTCGAACAATGATCAATCATTTTTATGGAAGTTCTGGAGTCCTTTCACAATGTTCCCACAATGAATGCAGTAGGTTTGGGGAAATACTTCATCTATGGAGGATTAGGGATTCGGTGGAATATGCTCGATTCTGATCGATCATATCCATTCGATACGATCAAAGCCTCACTCCAAAAGATTTCTCTACCCAAAACCGGGCAAAAACCACAGTACAAAGGCACCTGGACTATCTCAGAAAAACAATGAAGCAAGAAAGGGATCTATAAGCTAGTACAAGGGCATGGGAGGGCATTCCTCTACTATTCATAGTTCCTTGTTTTCATGACCTACGGCCTAGGCAGGCAACTCTCTGAATTGCCCTATCTAGAAGAGAGACAGCTCCTATTATTTGCGAGAGAGTAAAATGTTTACTGCAGGTGCATCAATGACTGCTGGACACTGAGAAAAACTACAAAGGCGAAGAAACTTTACCAGCAAAGAGATATATTGCACATCACCATCACCTTGATCAGAGAATTCTTGATGTATGAGGAGATTCTACACTGTATTGAAATATATAGAACCACCAAGTTATGCTAGAAAGTTCCTTACTGGTGGCTGTGCAGCATTATTGTGCATCTACTTGAAGGGTATGTCACCTGATTTGTTGATGAGTTGGGAATGATGTGATGTCTTTCACAGATACAGAACCTAACTATATCACATTCGTATTCGAATCACTTTCAAGAATCGACTACAATTGGAAAAAGGGTTTCAGGAGCTATGCTAGCAATGCTAGTTATTTATAAAAACCCTGTATCGGCTTGGTAATGATATCTAATGAAGTATTACCCCTATTTGACGAATCGTGTCAATTGTGACAAACAATGATCAATCATCTCACAAACTCCAGAGTTCATGAGTAATGTTCCTACGATGGATGAAGTGGGTTTGGTCAGATAATACATTTGTAGAGGATTCGGTGGAATATGCACCATTCCTATTGGCTATCCATTCGATGAGATCAAGGTCAGACTCCAAACAATGACTCTACTCAACATCGAGAAAACACCGCAGTTCTAAGGCACACTAGATTGTCTCAGGAAAATAATGGAGCGAGAAGATATTCAAGGTTTGTACATTGGCATGGAAGCTCCTCTTCTATTCTCCTTGCTCCGCAGTACCCTTCATGACCTACGGCCTAGGCATGCAACTCTTCGCATCGCCTCACTGACAAGACAAACAACTCCATTATCTGCCCTACTTCCTCGCAAGGGCATTTTTCGGGATCTCCACTGCGAGAGAGTGAAGTGATTACTGCAGGTATGTACATCGAGGATTGCTCGATATGGAGAGAATCAACAAAAGTCCTGTAGACTGCGTTAAGAAACTTCACTAGCAAAGAGGTACACTGAAAGTGTATCAAGGCTTCACCATCACCTCGATCAGAGAAGTTCCTGTCGGTGGGAATGAAGTAAGGATGAGTCCACAGCTGGTACATCCTATCCGCCCTATCTGATGGAAGAGAGACAGCTCCATTATCTACCCTAATTCCTCGCTGGTACATTTTCTAGAATCTTCACTGCAATGCTCGCACCTTGCCAGTGAGTGGAATCTTCACTGAATTTGCAATAATGACTGCTGTGGTAGAGAGAAACTACAAAGGCCTTGTAGACTCTGCGTGAAGAAACTTTACCAGCAAAGAGGCATATTGAGCATGCACAACACCATCACCTTGATCAGAGATATGCCTGTCAATGAGAATCATTTCTTGACGTATGAGGTGATGCTACTAGAACTACCAAGTAATGCTAGAACATTCCTTACTGCTTGCTGTGTAGCACTGTACAAGGTGAACAACTAAGAACGGATGTAGGCGTGATCTGGTTCATCAATAGATATCATGATTTAAAAATGTAATGTATGCATATTATGAAATGATTGAATACAGAAACTTAATCTCAAGTGACCAACGGAAACTGCAACATGATATCTTTTCGCAAACGAAAGATATTGACGATCAAAGTTCGGAAAAGGATTGATGGCAGCCGTTCTTAGTTGTTCACCTGGTACATATACTTGGAGGGTATACTACCTGATTTATTGAAGAGTCGGCTGTGGTGTGCTGTCTCCCACAGATGCAGAACCCACCTATACCAGATTTGTTTTCGAATTACTTTCAAGAATCCACTACCAGTTGAAGAGAGTTATCGACAGCTTCTACATTGCTTGTCATTTATAGAAACCCTGTGTTGGCTTGGCAATGATATCTAGTGAAGTATCACCTCTTTTTGACAAATCGCGTCAAAACGTGACAAACTATGATCAATCATCTCACGGACTCCAGAGTTCAAAAATATTGTTCCTGCTATGGATGAAGTAGGTTTGTGCAGTTCCTTCAATTGTGGAGGATCCGGTGGAATATGCTCCATTCTGATTGGCCATCCATTCGATACGATCAAAGTCAGACTCCAAACGATGTCTCTTGCCAAAACCGGGAAAACACCTCTGTACAAAGGCACACTGGATTGTCGCAGGAAAACAATGAAGCAAGAAGGAGTCCAAGGTTCGTACAAGGGCATGGGAGCTCCTCTTCTATTCGTAGCTCCATGCTTCGCAGTATCCTTTATGACCTACGGCCTAGGCAGGCAACTCTTCGAATCGCCCCACTGGAAAGACAAACAACTCCATTACCTGCCGTTTTCCCTCGCTGGGGCATTTTCCGGAATATTCACGGCGATGCTAGCACCCTGCGAGAGGGTGAATTGCTTACTGCAGGTGCAACAAGGATTGCTCGATAGGAAGAGAACCTTCGAAGGTCCTATAGACTGCGTGAAGAAACAGGAAAAGAGGTATACTGAGTGTGTACGAAGGCTCATACATCACCTTGATCAGAGATGTGCCTGTCGGTGGGATTCATTTATTGACGTTATGAGGTGATGCTACACTGTATTGGACTAGAACTACCAAGTTACGCTAGAACGTTCCTTACTAGTGGCAGCATTGTACTAGGAGGGTGTATTTACCTGATCTGTTGAAGAGTTGGCTGTAGTGTGCCGTCTTCCACAGATGCAGAACCCACCTATACCAGATTTGTATTCAAATCACTTTCAAGAATCCACTACCAGTTGAAGAGAGTTATCGACAGCTCCTACATTGCTCGTCATTTATAGAAACCCTGTGTTGGCTTGGCGATGATATCTAGTGAAGTATCGCCTCTTTTTGACAAATCGCGTCAAAACGTGACAAACTATGATCAATCATCTCACAAACTCCAGAGTTCAAAAATATTGTTCCTGCTATGGATGAAGTAGGGTTGTGCAGATACTTCATTTGTGGAGGATTCGGTGGAATATGCTCCATTCTGATTGGCCATCCATTCGATACGATCAAAGTCAGACTCCAAACGATGCGTCTTGCCAAAACCGGGGAAACACCGCTGTACAAAGGCACACTGGATTGTCTCAGGAAAACAATGAAGCAAGAGGGAGTCCACGGTTTGTACAAGGGCATGGGAGCTCCTCTTCTATTCGTGGCTTCTTGCTTCGCAGTATCCTTTATGACCTACGGCCTAGGCAGGCAACTCTTCGAATCGCCCCACTGGAAAGACGAACAACTCCATTACCTGCCCTTTCCCCTCGCTGGGGCATTTTCCGGAATATTCACTGCGATGCTAGCACCCTGCGAGAGAGTGAAGTGCTTACTGCAGGTGCAACAAGGATTGCTCGATAGGAAGAGAACCTACAGAGGTCCTATAGACTGCGTGATGAAACCGGAAAAGAGGTATACTGAATGTGTACGAAGTCTCCCACATCACCTTGATCAGAGATGTGCCGGTCGGTGGGATTTATTTCTTGACGTTATGAGGTGATGCTACACTGTATTGGACAAGAACTACCAAGTTACGCTAGAACGTTCCTTACTAGTGGCAGCATCGTACTAGGAGGGTGTATTTCCTGATCTGTTGAAGAGTTGGCTGTGGTGTGCCACCTACCACAGATGTAGAACCCACCTATACCAGATTTGTATTCAAATCACTTTCAAGAATCCACTACTAGTGAAAAAGAGTTTCCAACAGCTACCACATTGCTAGTCATTTACTGAAACCCTGTTGACAATGATATCTAGTGAAGTATCACCTCTCTTTGACAAATTGCGTCAAAACGTGACAAACAATGATTGATCATTTCACAAACTCCAAAGCTCAAAAATATTGTTCCTGCTATGGATGAAGTAGGTTTGTGCAGATACTTCATTTGTGGAGGATTCGGTGGAATTTGCTCCATTCTGATTGGCCATCCATTCGATACGATCAAAGTCAGACTCCAAACAATGCCTCTTCCTAAAACCGGAGAAACAACGCAGTACAAAGGCACACTGGATTGTTTCAGAAAAACAATGAAGCAAGAAGGAGTCCACGGTTTGTACAAGGGCATGGGAGCTCCTCTTCTATTCGTCGCTCCTTGCTTCGCAGTGTCCTTCATGACCTACGGCTTAGGCAGGCAACTCTTCGAATCGCCCCACTGGAAAGACAAACAACTCCATTACCTGCCCTTCTTCCTCGCTGGAGCATTTTCCGGAATATTCACTGCGATGCTAGCACCCTGCGAGAGAGTGAAGTGCTTACTGCAGGTGCAACAAGGATTGCTGGATAAGGAGAGAATCTACAAAGGTCCTGTAGACTGCGTGAAGAAACTTTACCGGAAAGGAGGTATCCTGAGCGTGTACAGAGGCTTCACAATCACCTTGGTTAGAGATGTGCCTGTTAGTGGGGTTTATTTCTTGACGTACGAGGTGATGCTTGACTTTATTGGACCAGAGACATCGAGTTATTTTAGAACAATTCTTGCTGGTGGCTGCGCAGGATTGTCTATTTGCTTAGTGGGGGTACCACCTGATGTGTTGAAGAGTAGGTTGCAGGCAGCGCCTGATGAGACTTACAAAAATGGAATGAGAGAAGTATTCAGTCGGCTGATGAGAAGTGAAGGTATATTGGCTCTTTACAAAGGATTGTCTCCAGTTTTGATGAGAGCTTTTCCCGCAAATGCTGCATGCTTCTTAGGGTTCGAGAAGTGTAAACAGTTTTTGGATTATGCATTAGGACAAGATAATGTTTGTAGATAAGTATTTGTAATAAATTGCGAGTGCCGAGTGAAAGTATTCAGGATCTTGTTTGTACTTTGAACCTACATTCTTAAGTGTTGGATGACTTGTTACTTGAACCTGATTGATATATAAATTGAGAGTCTATATAATTTACCTTCCTAACAATATACTGGATTTGCCGAGTGCATGATAGCACGCATTTGAATCGTTTCCCAATTCAAATATCTCATTCAATCTTGCATGCTGCTGATTGAATACATATGTGTAATCAGTCATTATAACAGACGAACTACTCTCATTAACACTATTATAACAAAATTCACTTCCATTTTCCTTGATTGAGCAATTGATGTTTCGATGATCAAAATGCAAATGTCAAGGTCCGAGATCATTTTTTAAGACAGTTTTTGTCCCATCAACTTGATAGAGTTGATAGTAGATAAAAAAGACGATTTTTTACTTGGTGGTGAGTTTTGTTCAATCTGAATAAACATTACTTGGCGAAAACCAAATTTTCTAGAAGATGGCCATATATACCACACAATATTTTCATTATCTAAGTGGGATTTGTTAGCTGTGTAAGTTTTTATAGCGCCATATCAAACGATATAGTTTTTAGTCCATATCAATTTTGAATTTGTGAATTTTCTACTGTAACATCCATCTCGCTCTTTCGTATGTGATATTTTTGTGAAACGTTTTATTCATGCTGCCCAACCTCGTGTTTTTCAACCCTAATACTAATAATAACAAGTTATCACAGGTGGTTCTTGAATCATATGTGATATTTTCGTGAAACGTTTTATTCATTGTCACCACCTTCAGCATTTTCTAAAGACTTACCCCAAAATGAATACCAAGTTCTTCAAAATGGTGTTGTCAAGGAACGGCAGCGAATGTCTCTGGAGATCTGGGACGTGGGTTGGTCAGATGTTGGCAATTGAACAGCTTTTTTTCTATATTTTGAAAGGAGCGCCACTTAAATTTGTTGGAATGAAAGATAAGAAATCAAAACATTGTGAAGTTTGGTCAAATATAGTTTTTTTGATCATGATGGCACCAGATGTATGTTATAAATTTCATACTCCTCAATAATGGTAAATTTCAAAGGTGGTGACAAGATGTGGCTTCGCACAAACGAGTTGAAGAAAAACGATGATTTATCGCCTCGCAAGACAAAATCCAAAATGCCAATTTCTTTCCCATGATGGCGTCGTCGAGACCAAGACGGAAAAGGACAATCCCTTCCAGAAAATTTCTTTTTATCAAGAATAAAGTTGAAGCATAGGAAAACCTATTTGAAAAAAAAAAACACCAACGCCAACTATGCCTTTTGCGCAACAACGCCTCTCATGCGTGAGCACGGGTTGAGTTCTAAACCAATCACAGGCTATGGAATCTTTCAACTTCTAGCCAATGAGAAAATTGGATTTACCCCACGTAGTTTGGTGACACTTGACATATGACACACGACTTTTTAATGACATGACTTTCCACTTAGTATTCACTTCGACCTGACTTCAAGACTGATTTTTCTAAGTGCAAACGAACAGCACTAAAAAGAACAAAGACAACCTGACTTTACTTGTGACTCATGACATTGACATGAAACAATTTGACATTTGACTTTGGACAAATTGTAATTGATCATATTGACAGCCAATGAAAACAAATTGACAAATTCGAATTTGAAAATGAATTTCCAAAGAAACGAAGTTATGGAAAAATAAAGAAAGCCCTAGCACCTGTAAGACTCAATCGGTAAGTACGATGCTTCTTGAAGCTCAAATACTTTCTCTGTGATTTCACCTGATCCTTCGTTTTTCTTTTCAGATTGTTCCTGGAGTTCCAGGATTGCTTGGAGATGACCACATCAGTTTAAAGAATACAGGGACTGACTTCAGGTAAGTTATGACCGTGACTTTGTGTAAAAACCTACATGTTTATTTCAATTTTAGGCATCAAAATTTCCAAAAACATGAGCAGTGAGCCAACCAATCCAACAGGTACAAGAACATGATGAAATACCCACAATAGTTATGTAATGTAATTCACATCTTGCAAGTTCCTGTAATAAAATGTGAACTATATGCCTAGCTGTTTACTATGGAATAATACTTGGCTCAAGTCTGAACACAAAAGAGGAAACTGTACCATTCTGGTAAAGGTAAATTTTCATGTTACATCATGCTGCCCAACCTCGTGTTTTTTAACCCTAATACGACGATAGAATACTGTTTTACTAATAACTACTATAATGATTGATGATTATATTGATAACACAATATCATTGTCTCATCAGGCAAGGAAAGAAATTGAAGACATACAATGTACCTCATTTATCGATTTATCAAAATCAAAAATAAATAATAGTTTCGTACCCATCATACCCAGACACATTGTCGTTTACCAGCAGAATACTCACGAAATCGATATGATTCATTTTCGAGTTTCCTAAATCTGACATAATCACGATAAATCTGACAATAACAATAACTAATAAAGCGCGAACATAGTTATATAGGATGGTGCGAGTATAAATAACTACGACTACGCGTTATAACCACCAACGCTCACGATTCAACCGCATAACTCTGGAACCACACAATAAATAAGCCACCATCAAGTCTAACCGCACTAATTTTCTGCCTATAAATTCATATTTTCACACAAGAAGTTTTTTCGAGAGCTCTAATCAATTAAATTACTTAAAGCGGCTCGGGACAGTTCAAACGCCATCCATCATACCACACAAATCTTTTTAATCCGATATTTATTCCGTCATTATAAATAAATTATTCACCCCGTATGAGTGTCGTTCTGTGCGGCTATTAGAGTCTTATTCGAATACAATTAGAGATGTGTCCGGCCACACGGGCTCGAATGGACCTTAATGAACTATAAATATGTCTGGGACAATGCGGTTGTATCACTTATTTATGTGTAGGTATCCCATATTAATATCATAGTCAGCGAATCTCAAACAACCATACTGCAGACTAGAGTGCCTTGAAGATCTGACGTTTAATGCTTTATAGAGAGTGAAGACACTTGTCACCGCTAGAATTGTCAGTATTGTCACTGTTTAACGAGGGGCAGCCGAGTTAAAAAAATAGTCGAGAACACCATGAGAGTTGCAAACAAACATTTTTGTGAAAACGTCAAAAAATATCGGTCGGAAATAAGTAATATACTTAGCTCAGCTCAGCTTAGTTAGAGGAAAATTTGAAGCGACGATCTCAAACGGCCTACAAGAAGCTCCCAATATTGTGTACAGATGGTGCGAAAGGCAGCAGATGTCTGTGAACCCCCGAAAAACTTTAATTATTCCTTTACCTGTTAAAATGAAGCTAGATAAACTCCGTCAGCTTGTCCTATAAGAAGAGAGCATTCCGTTTGCGGCGGAGGTGAAATACCTAGGTGTCACCCTAGGTGTCACCCTAGGTAAAAGACTCATGTCGAAAAACTATCAACAAAGCTGGTTTTTCCCTTTGGCATCTCAGAAGCATATGCGGCAAATCTTGTGGAATGAACCCCAAACAGATTTATTGGATTTACCAGACAATGGTAAAACCAATGGTCACGTATGGCTCGGTAGTCTGATGGACTAAAGGTCTGCAAGGGACAGCCAGGGCCAAGCTTGCTGGTCTTCAGTTGGCATGCCTTGCCATTACGTAGACGATGTCTTCCACTCCAACGGCAGCGATGGAAAACCTCCTGAACCTCAATCCCCTCCACATTGTCCTGGAGAGGAGAGCCAGGATGGTATCCTATAAATTCCTGTCATTGGAAAATCAAATGAGAGGAGGGCGACTGCTGGACTACTTCAAGATACTGCGTGAAATGAAGAATCGCCAAATTCTAGAAATGGTTCCCGACATGTTGGCCCCTCAGACAGACTTGAAAACAAATCGAATGAGACGAAAAAGGTGCGTTCTAATATTTTTTTCTGATATCTGAGATTTTAATGGAGAATTATAGAAAATGGAGCTTTGATTACTACTCAATAGAAACATTTCGAGGACTGCTGACTATAAACTCGCACATTTCAAGACCTCGTAATAAAATGAATTCAAACGTACTATACAATTCGAACTAAATTGTAGGGATTTAAGTACCATCGCTGGTTTAAGAGGTTAGGTACGGTTGTATAGTTATTCTTATTCATCGCTGAGCTGGTGAATATTCCTTCTTTGGATAGAATTCTTGTCGTAGGTATCTTATTTCCGCAATGCCTACAAAGTAATAAATTTTGTATCCTTTAAGATTACATAGGCTATATTCCGAATTCAACAGACAGTACTGAATCTGCTGATTTTTCATTCCGAAATCAAAAAAATCCACTGAAAGTGACAGATACTTGTGAGCAGATATACTATTCATTCCAAAATATTTCGATTCAATATTCTGCTGAAATTGCTGACTGCCAAAATGTAGTGAGTGTGCTTCATTGAACAATCATTATTTTAGTTGGGAAAGGAATGTCACATTTATCTCCGTTGTTTTTCAAAGATAAGTCTTGGCTCATCAATAATGAATTGATAATATCATCTATAATATCAAAAAATAATAATTGATAAATGATTGACGCTGAGAATAATATGGAGTAAGACAAATTTCACTAGCTGATCGACTTCTACTGATTACTGATGGAAACCATGAAAACGTGTTCCGAATCACAGCATTGTTTTTTTCATTTTATATAGCCACAATGTGTGCGATTTGTATGGAAGCGCTGGAGGTCCAGTATGCGTTTGTTTCAAGTTGCCCAAGAAGCTAGATTATCATCATACCTTATGAACAAGATCATCTTGCTTAGAAGCTAGATGATCTTGCTCAAGATGCAAGAAGATCTAGCTCAAGAAGCAAGATGATCTAGCCTAATGAGCGAGATGATCTTGCTTGATGATTAAGATGATCTTGCATAATAAACAAGATAATCTATAGCCTAATTAACAAGATGATCTCGCGCTGGAGTGCCAGTATGCGTTTTTCAACTTACTCAATAAACTAGATCATCTTGCT